TACTCTTCCGTGGTCATTTGTCCAATCTTCCACTTCTTGTAAGCTTCTTTTTTGTGTTTAAGATCAGCAAGGATTTCACTGTTAAGCCAAGCTGGTCGCCTGCCATATTTACTGTTCATAGAATCATAGAACACCAGGATTGGAAGGGACCTCAGGAGGTCATCTAGTCCAACTCCCTGCTGAAAACAGGACCAATCCCCAATTTTCTGCCCCAGATCCCTAAATGGCCCCCTCAAGGATTGAACTCACAACCCTGGGTTTAGCAGGCCAATGCTCAAACCTGTCTGTATACACAGCAGTGAGCATTTCCTAGGCCCCTATCACAGGTGACTTTTAAAATACTTGAGGTGAATTTTACCCTTGGGCAGAAGGACAAAGCATCACTTAAGCAGGACTTAAATTTGGGGTTTGCCATTTACTAAGAAGCTTGCTATAGTGTCACTTGATTTATCCAGTACTCTTGTTATATAAAATAGGGTCATGCCCCAGATGTCTATATATTTAAAAATCCTCTCAGTTATCCATGTTTATTCAGGAGTCATAATTGTACTGAATTATGAGTTATAATTGAACTGCAGTTTTGCTTTACCCCACTAAGGCAGAGAGAATGATTTTGATTGCTATCCTCTATTAACTGTGAGGTTGCGGTGATTTCAGGGGCATGTCTACACTGAAGTCATGGGGTGTGCTTGCAGCTCCAGTAGATATACCCAAGATAGCTTTAATCTCTACCTACATGTACACGAGCCGCAATCATAGGATGACTGCAGTGCAGATGTACCCAACAGCAACAGTTTCAATAAGTGAAGAAAAAAGGTATTTATATTGTGGAAAATATGTTCCATCCAACACCTCCAGGGACTTGACAGTCAGATCATAGCACACGGATACTTTCGCTGGTTCAAGGGAAGAGGAATCAGTGGGTGGGTGGCTGGGGGGTGGGTGTTTGTCTGCATAGCAACCAGAAGCAGAAAAGTGAATGTGAAAACTACTTCTGCCAACAAGAGGGTTTTCAGTGACAACCTAGCAATGAAGGTTAAAATGGCAACACCACTTCCTGTGGCAAGCAGGGTAATTGGGGATATGGGAGCAGCACCAGTACGCCTGTGGGAGCAGCTGCACTGTCCGTGGCCATTAGAGCCAGAGTGATAAGAGTAATTTACATAACTGTTGAGGTTTTGGACAAAGCACCAGACTTGTACTGTGTAATTTAAGAAACCAGCTTTGTGGCTTCACAAATTGGCCAGACCTGGATCTTGTCTGCTCAGACAGTACATGCTTTGATTACTCTCCACCAACTGGCAGCTCATATATTTCATCTACAACTTCTGCTGTTTGCTAGATTTGATTTTTACTTGGTTTTGTTTTCTTAAAAGTTGTGTAAAAGAGAGAATTAAATCTGCATGCTCGGCCAGAAGAGCTGGGGTCTAAAACACATTAACAGACGATGACACAGAGCAATAGCCTGAAGACATGTGTGCAGAACACCAATCAACTGTGTTTTCCTATCAAATCCTCCAAACATTTAGCAACCATGAAGCAACCACTTTTTAAAAAAATTTGGTGACATTTTTGGTGAACCCAATAATTCAAAACTAAACACTGACCCCCAGTAAAGGCAGGCATAACCAGACTCCACCCACACAAAACCACACTTGCCAGGAGCCATCTCTAAAATGCAACAAGTTGCAACTGCTCTCATCTCTTACATGAAGAAAAGGAGTACTTGTGGCACCTTAGAGACTAACCAATTTATTTGAGCATGAGCTTTCGTGAGCCACAGCTCACTTCATCAGATGTGTACCGTGGAAACTGCAGCAGACTTTATATACACACAGAGGGAATGGTGCTTCCCAGCAGAAGTCTCAGCATGCAGAGTTCCAGCTTGAATCTAGCTGGAGCATTAGGTGCTCAGACCTGTAGTCTCCACAGGCTACACACCATCCTATTAAAAATCACAGCTGCCGTGGGCAGCAGCAGAACTCTATATGCCATGTTTTGGCCACCTTATTTTCTAGCTGTTCCAAAAATTCTGCACGGCAAGATGTATGTGATGAGTCTCTATTTCTTTTTTATTTAAAAAATCTGCAGTATATAACCTACTTTCTGTAGCAGTTTGCTTTATCCATCATCCACTTGCCCACGCACACAAAACAGCTAGTGTAAAACAGAAAGCATACCCTCTATGTTGGGTTCTTTACTGTTTATAATCTGAATCCTTCTGGAACCATCAAATGTTGCTTAGGGCACAAACAGGACTCTGCTGTCCTTCCCTATCCTGGGCCACTCTTTGCATGTTCTATCTGTTGTTAAGTCCCATATTTCCCCCCCCCCCCAGCTTAGTACTATTTGACAGAGAGGTTCTTTCAGTCAGCCCCTTTTACACGTTCCTCTAGCTACCCAATAGCACACCTGCCACAACAGATGCTCTGGCTTCATTCTTAACATGTCCCAGATATTTCCATCTTCTTTTGTGGATAACTTCAGAGATAAGCTATTGAACTCGGTCATGAATCTCGGCATTTGTGATATATATTTGCTTCTGAAGGTATTTTAGACATCTGTCTGTACCTCTGATGGATTTCCAGCTTTCACATCCATATATGAAAGTGGAAAGAAAACTGTTTGTAATGGATTGAAAAAAATATTGAAATCTCTTTCATGCTCAGACCAGCTAGCAACTAATCAGCAAAGCATCCTGCGGTCTTGTGTTGTCCATCTGCTCTGTCTTTTCATCTTCCTGCTTTTATGTGTAATAGCCTTCCCAGTAGGCACTAGCAATCACACACAAACTTGTCATGGTAGTTCTTTCCCACAACCCTAACAAGCAATCTGATGCCTTCCCCCACATGAGAGCATGCGCTGTGCCGTGCTGTGACGGGGTTTGTGTAGCCCAGCGAAAGTGGGCAGCCCAGTCATAACATGTTGAATAGATCTGTAATGCAGAAGATGGAAAAAACAACCCTTTTGCTTGACCCTCTTTCAGTTATGAGTTATGAGTTATAACTCTTTCAGGAGTTATGACTGAAGCTCTGCAGCTGCCTTGAGAACTTGGGGAAATAAAATAGGGATGTTTTTGGCAGATTGGAAGACCTGGGACAGGACGAAAACGTCCTGTACGTTGGAATCAGCTGAGACTCCGCTAGTCAAAGCTAAGTTGGAAGGCTGTCTAGGTTTCTGATCCGTTAGCCTGCGTTGCATTAGCTCCAGCTCTGTCTGGTTGCTTATAAATAATCAATACACTCACCTAGCCTTCTGAGGTGTGTGCCTACCAAGTAACACATGGCCCCAAAGATATGGGTAATTAGAACCGACTGGGCCATCTCTGAAGCTGTTCCATCCTCCATTGCACACACCGCTGATTTTTTTCTTGTACCACATTTATCACTGGTCTACTATTAATATCATAAATAAGGTGCGTAGTTCATGGCCTAGATATTTTCATAGCTGGTAAGTATTGTGTTAAATGTTTGGTAAAGATTGTTCTCTAAATCCATTGCAGGGCTCTCTTCTGGCACAAACATCTCACTCTTTTTTGCGTAAAGGTTTGAGTGGTCCATGCTTATTGCTCAGCTGCTGCTAATGAATAGTAGGTGTTCTGTGGCCAAAATTAGAGGCTCAATCAATGGCTTCTTTTCATATAGTCCAGGGAATAGAAAACAGTAATTCTCTAGTCTCAGGAAGAACCTACTTCCCCTTTCAGCTTTGCTCCACAGCAGCTGGCTCTCCAAGCTATCTCCCTTCCTGTTGCGGGAACCAAAATCAACTCTGATGAAATCCAAATTTGGACCAGTAGCAATGTGAGCACTGAAGCATCAAACTTTCTTCATTGTGTAACCTCAGTACATAATGTTTGAAATAGTCACAAGCAGTTCAAAGACTCTTTGCCATCGGGCATCAATTAAATATCTTGCAAAGAACTGGCACGTCAGTGTCGCTGACAGTTAATGCAAGAAAAGACTTGATGCCTTTATAGTAAAGTGGCTGAACTAATATCATTCAAGGATTGCTGGCCATTGACTCTGGCTGCTTAAGTATAGTGGAAAAAAATTGATTTGGGAGCAAGAGTGTGAAACGCTAAAGAGAAGATGTTTGAAATAGTCTCTAAAGTGAAACTGTGATGTCTAGCACTGCAAATTGCACTCTTAGGAAACCAAATGAATGAAACAATCCACAGAGAAAGAAAGCCAGTCTTGTATAAAGTAACACTAGTGGATATGCACCAGTGTTAGAGCAAAATTTGATATGAAGAGTATGTGCCAACTCCCTCAAGTCAGTGGAGTTGTATGGGTCTAATTGAGAATTTGCCCATATGAGCATAGGGGCATCAGATTCTCTTCTTGATCGATAGGAAAAACATTTGAATGTTTGTAATTTTTCTTGCACTATATGGGTGGGTTGATGTGATGGTGTGTTTGGTTGGATGCCAAAATTAAGAAAATTTCCAGGGAAAATCAAAATGAGATAACTTAAAAACCTGCATCATACTGGAATTAGAAAATAACTGCATGATCAAGCATCCTCAGCATTTTGATCAGGGACTGCAGGCAGTGGAATTTCCATAGACTTTGTGCATAGAGCAGATAGGCATTGCTCTGGAAATGGTAGTCATCCAAGGAAAAGCTCTATAGAACAACGGCTCAAAAGTTCTGAAAAATATAGCGATACTTAAGACAGAGAGCAGTGGAGGAACATTCAGAATATAGCCACTGTTATGTATCAAATATACACTGATTGCTATAACTAGTTGTCCCACAATTCTATTAGTTTAGTTATAACTTTGTTTTAGTCCTCAACTTTGGGATAGAATCAATATATCCTTTCAAAATCATTTTAAAAAAACCTTTGCAATTGTGGATTTTTAGTGATTTTGATTCAATTTCTTGCAATAATCAAGAAAAAATAGGAAAGCTGCTAGAAAACAGGATTTATTGAGCAAGTGACCTGATGAAGCAATTGACATTTTAAATTGATCTGGACACATTTTGCTTTCTTTGCAGTGCTCATTTTTGCCTAAATTCTCCATTCACATAGAAACAAAATATGAGGACAACAAAGGAAGCAATGACAATGTAAGTATGATCTTTTTTGAAAAATAAATGTTTAAACCCATGCAAGGACATTGTTAATCATGAAATATTCCTGGGGCTTGCATGGCTTGCAAACTGGAAAAGAATGCTCAGCAGTCCTTAATCTTTGCACCTGGATAGCCAACTCATCAGCATGAAGGGATGGACTTAGCTGACCTCTTGAGGGCCCGGTCCAGCCCTATGTTTCTATGATTCCATGAAGATTGTGCAACTTGCAAAAGAATTATGTAAAGCACTATGGTATAAAGAGTTTATGCCTCTTATCTTACCTCCAGGCTCCTCCTCTAATCTCAACATAATTCATGGGTGTGAATTTAATGCTCATGAAGGATTGTGGAGAATGAGGGAGATATCTATATCATATGTATGTAAGTTTACCTGCTTGATATTATCTGTGACTATGTGGAGCTGAATTAAAAGGAGTTGGTAGGAAGAACAAACAAGAAACAAAACAAGGGTCAGAGATAAGGCAGCTCTGGGTAAACAACTTGAAGAGAACAATGGCTGGGCCATTAATTGGGAAGATGCTCTTCCCAGGCACCAGTCAAAAGTTACACAGCTCTTTCCTCAAGACCATAGCCGAGAAATCAAAAGGGCTGTAAACAGTTAAAAACTGTCTCTCCAAAGACAGAGCAGGTAAGTGGCCAGTAGCAACTGAAGGGGAGACACTGACATAGAGACCCTGCCAGAGGCAGAGAATGAAGGAGGTCACTCTGTCTATCCCAGCACTGAGTTGGGGGTTTCTGGGTTAAGTGCACGTTCCTAGACTTGCAAGGAAAGGGTAAAGTTTAGATAAGATTAGATGCATGTAGATTTTTGTTATTTTAACCCAGTTCTCTGATTGCTGTGAATCTTTGGGTGAATAAACAATATGCTTATTTGGAAAAAGCTGTTTTGAGTCACTTTAATCAGCTGCTGGACACAGGCTGGGAAGTTTCTGGAGGAAGGTTTCTTGCAAGTGTCAAATACACTTGGGCTGGTTGTGTTAACAGTGTTGGAAAACAGGGTGGCTGCAGCCCAATTATCCAGTCTGAGTTATTGAATTGTGCGGTTCCACCCTTGTTGAAGGAAGTAAATCCTGTCACGAGGGGTGCATTTGAGAGAGACTGCAAAAGGTCTACGACACAGGTCACCCTATAACAATGAGTTGGGTGCTAGATGGCATCTCTGGAGACTGACGTTCTTTATTTACCCACACATTCCCCAACCCTGACCCGGTGGAACCTCCTCCAGTGGTGAGAGAATAGGTCAGGCAACAAGTTCCTTGGCCTCTCTGCTAAATTGCTGAGTTGATGGGTGCATAATAATTGCAATTAGATAACTATAGTCTTGGTTTTAATCATGATTTTTGTGATGCAGACACTTTTCCATTGAAAACTGGACTGAGGCCACCAAGCAGCCATTGGATGATGATAACTTTCAGTCACTAGTTACCTGAGTCAGCCCTGGTCTACACTACGAGTTTAGGTCAAATTTAGCAGCATTAGATCGATTTAACCCTGCACCCATCCACACAAGGAAGCCATTTTTGTCGACTTAATGGGCTCTTAAAATCGATTTCTGTACTCCTCCCCGACGAGGGGATTAGCGCTGAAATCGACATCGCCGGGTCAAATTTGGGCTAGTGTGGATGCACTTTGACAGTATTGGCCTCCAGGAGCTATCCCACAGTGCTCCATTGTGACCGCTCTGGACAGCACTCTGAACTCGGATGCACTGGTCAGGTAGACAGGAAAAGCCCTACGAACTTCTGAATTTCATTTCCTGTTTGGCCAGTGTGGTGAGCTCATCAGCAGAGGTGACCATGGAGTTCCAGAATCGCAAATGAGCTCCAGCATGGACCGAACGAGAGGTACTGGATCTGATCGCTGTATGGGGAGACAAATCCATGCTATCAGAACTCCGTTCCAAAAGACGAAATGCCAAAATATTTGAAAAAATCTCCAAGGGCATGAAGGACAGAGGCTATCACGGGGACCCACGGCAGTGCCACGTGAAACTTAAGGAGCTTAGGCAAGCCTACCAAAAAACGCAAGAGGCAAACGCCCACTCGGGGTCAGAGCCCCAGGCATGCCGCTTCTATGATGGGCTGCATGCAATTCTAGGGGGTGCCCCTACCACTGCCCCACCCCTGTACATGGACTCCTGCAAAGGGGGAGTCTCATGCAACAGGCATGAGGATTTTGGGGACGAGGAAGATGATAGCACACACCAGGCAAGTGGAGAAACTGTTCTCCCTGACAGCCAGGAACTGTTTATCACCCTGGATCCAATACCCTCCCAACTCGGGCTCCCAGATCTTGAAGGCGGAGAAGGCAGCGCTGGTGAGTACACCTTTGTAAATATAATACACGGTTTAAAAGCAAGCGTGTTTAATGATTAATTTGCCCTGAAGACTTGGGATGCATTTGCAGCCAGTACAGCTATGGAAAAGTCTGTTAACATGTCTGGGGATGGGGTGGAAATCCTCCAGGGACATCTCAATGAAGCTGTCCTGGAGGTACTCCCAAAGCCTTTGCAAAAGGTTTCTGGGGAGGGCAGCCTTATTGCATCCTCCATGATAGGTCACTTTACCTCAGCAGGCCAGTAGCATGTAGTCTGGAATCATTGCAAAAGAAAGCATGGCAGCGTGTGGTCCCGGTGTTTGCTGGCATTCAAGCAAGATCCGTTCTTTATCTCTCTGTGTTATCCTCAGGAGAGTGATATCGTTCATGGTCACCTGGTTGAAATAGGGGAATTTTATTAAGGGGACATCAGAGGTGGCTGTTCCTGCTGGGCTGTTAGCCACGCGGTTGGGGGAGGGGTGAAACGATCATCCCAGAGAATTGGGTGTGTGGGGGGGTTAGTTGGGTTTGTGCTGCACCTTAACCTGAAAACATCAGCCCCTCCTTTTAAATGGCCAGTATGTCTTTTTCAATTTAAATCTCCCTTTTTTCTTCCCGCAGTTGCAAATGTTTCAACGCTTCAACTAGCATCTCCGTCCGAGGGGCTAGTGCAGATAAGAAGGTGAAAAAAACGCACTCGCGATGAAATGTTCTCTGAGTTCATGGAGTCCACCCAAACTGAAAGAGCCCAGAAGAATGTGTGGAGGCAGACAATGGCAGAGTCCAGGAAAGCACAAAATGAATGCGATGACAGGAGAGACGCATGAGAGGACAGATGGCTGGAGCAACAGGAGAGGTGGTGGCAGCATGATGAAAGGAGGCAGGATGCAATGCTGAGGCTACTGGAGAATCAAACTGATATGCGCCAGCATATGGTTGAGGTGCAGGAAAGGCACAGACCGCCACTGCAGCCCCTGTGTAACCAACCACCCTCCTCCCCAAGTTCCATAGCCTCCTCACCCAGATGCCCAAGAATGCGGGGGGGGGGTACTCCAGGCACCCAACCACTCCACCCCAGAGGACTGCCCAAGCAACAGAAAGTTGGCATTCAATAAGTTTTGAAGTGCAGTGTGGCCTTGTCCTTCCCTCCTCCCCTCATCCACCACCCCACCCGGTGCTTCCCTCCTTCCATACCCCTCCCAGGCTACCTTGGCAGTTATCCCCCTATTTGTGTGATGAATTAATAAAGAATGCATGAATTTGAAACAACAATGACTTTATTGGCTCTGCAAGTGATGATTGAAGTGGGGAGGGGAGGACGGTTGGCTTACAGGGAAGTAGAGTGAACCAAGGGGGCGGGTTTTCATCAAGGAGAAACAAACAGAACTGTCACACCGTAGGCTGGTCAGCCATGAAACTTGTTTTCAAAGCTTCTCTGATGCGCAGCGTGCCCTGTTGTGCTCTTCTAACTGCCCTGGCAATATGCCTCAACTTCCCACCCCACCATAAACGTCTTCCCCTTACTCTCACAGATATCGTGGAGCACACAGCAAGCAGTAATAACAATGGAAATATTGGTTTTGCTGAGGTCTAACTGAGTCAGTAAACTGCACCAGCATGCTTTTAAACATCCAAATGCAAATTCTACCACCATTCTGCACTTGCCCAGCCTATAGTTGAACAGCTCCTGACTACTGTCCAGGCTCCCTGTGTACAGTTTCATGAGCCATGCAATTAAGGGGTAGGCTGGGTCCCCAAGGATAACTATAGGCATTTCAACATCCCCAACGGTTATTTTCTGGTCTGGAAGGTAAGTCCCTTGCTGCAGCTGTTCATACAGACCAGAGTTCCTGAAGATGAGCATCATGTACCTTTCCCAGCCATCCCACGTTGATGTTGGTGAAACATCCCTTGTGATCCACCAGTGCTTGCAGCACCATTGAAAAGTACCCCTTTCAGTTTATGTACTGGCTGCCTTGGTGGTCTGGTCCAAAGATAGGGATATGCGTTCCGTCTATCGCCCCACCACAGTTAGGGAATCCCATTGCAGCAAAGCCTTCCACTATGACCTGCACATTTCCCAGAGTCACTACCCTTGATAGCAGCAGCTCAGTGATTGCGTTGGCTATTTGGATCACAGCAGTCCCCACAGTAGATTTGCCCACTCCAAACTGATTCCCGACTGACCAGTAGTTGTCTGGCATTGAAAGGTTCCAGAGGGCTATCACCACTCGCTTGTGAACTGTGAGGGCTGCTCTCATCTTGGTATTCTTGCGCTTCAGGGGAGGGGAAAGCAAGTCACAAAGTTCCATGAAAGTGCCCTTACGCATGAGAAAGTTTTGCAGCCACTGGGAATCATCCCGGACCTGCAACACTATGCGGTCCCACCAGTCTGTGCTTGTTTCCCAGTCCCAGAATCAGCGTTCCATGGCATGAGCCTGCCCCATTGCCACCAGGATGGCCAAATTGCCGGGGCCCATGCTTTGAGAGAATTCTGTGTCCATGTCCTCATTACTCTTGTCACTGCGCTGCCATCACCTCCTCGCCTGCTTTTGCAGGTTCTGGTTCTGCATATACTGCATGATAATGCGCGAGGTGTTTACAATGCTCATAACTGCTGCGGTGATCTAAGCCGGCTCCATGCTTCGGTGGTATGGC